ATATTTCCTTCGATCAAGCTCTGAAGAGTGGAATCGGCTGAATTATTCCATTTTTCTTATTACCTTCTTTTCTTGCTCTTCGTGTGTTTTCTCTTTCGTACCAACAACAGAAGTTGTGATTTTTTCCTTGCTTATCTTTCAAATGACCATCGTTATTACCAGAATAAATTTCTGTACCGCTAACAAGACATTTGCTTATTGTCTGTAAAACTAAGTTTGCAAACCTGCCATGCCAGAATGTACGTATCGTTGGTGAAAAGTGTTCATTATTAGACATCATTTGTTCTACTTGAGGGAGTTATCGATTCTTTCTGGAAGATGAACGGTCGAAGTTCTTGAGGGACATCTGTTATTACATTAGATTAACTACTTCTAATTGATTTTATTGTGCGTTTGTTTATATAGATTTTGCGAGAATCCAGATAGGTTTTCAGTACTGTATATGATTGGATGAACTATATGTTCTTAAATTTACAGCCAAAATGTTACTTGAAGAGTATTTTTCGGTTATTCTTCGTTTATAAAACTGAGATTCTCATTTTTTGCTTGATATTTGACGGCTGAAAGCTGGTCGCTATAAAACATTGAAGATGATGGATGAAATAGTTATTTAATGAATATTGCTTCGTTCTGCACAATTTATATTTGTATGTATTAAACTAGACAGTAATAATAATATGTGAAGTAAGAGTAGATTTTCAGTTAATCTTTTATAGTTACTTGAACTAAGACATCGCGAAGTAAATACTAGTAATATTAAGAGTTAAATACCTAATTCGGTTTGATCTAAGCAATTTCGCATCCTGGGTAAGACGATAAACTAGAACTTGTTAGGGTCCCACCTATGGACAAATAGTTAATCCCCAAACTGCGGCCGAAACACTATGAAAGTGTAAAAATAGGTTTTAATACCAGAAATAATTTACATTAATCGGACTATTGTCCTCATCTTTGTCGCCATATTTATTACAATGTTTTGACCGTTGTGCGCTCCGACCTTATTCAGGTGGTTGGAATGTCGAACTGAACTCTTTATTTCGCTCTGTCGAACTAAACCTTTTATTTCAGTTCGGCATTCCAACCACCTGAAGAAGGCCGGAGCGTACAACGGCCGAAACGTTGCAATAAATATGGCGGCAAAGATGAAGACAATAGTCACTACTCAGTCGTAATTTATCTAGCAAGACTAGCTTCAGTATGTGTCTACATTTCTGAGATGAGGTATTATGTACACTATTTACATTATTCAGAGTATTGTCCTCATCTTTGCCGCCATATTTATTACAAGGGCACATGGCAGAATGAATGAAGGAGTTAGTTAGATCAAGTGACAGGGCCCAAAGAGTGTGAGTTCAATACCTGGTTAAGGCAGTGGAGAACTTGAAGAGGGGAATTAACAGGAGACAACTGATAACTGACATCCGTTAAACATGGCACGGGGAACTAGTACAGTCTACCCCAGTGAGTGAAATAAAGGGTTCAGTTCGACATTCCAACCACCTGAAGAAGGCCGGGGCGTACAACGGCCAAAACGTTGTAATAAATATGGCGACAAAGATGAGGACAATAGTCTAGAATAATGTAAATAGTGTACATAATACCTCATCTCAGAAATATAGACAGATACTGAAAGGCCTAAATGTTGTAATAAATATGGCGACAAAGATGAGGACAATAGTCTAGAATAATGTAAATAGTGTACATAATACCTCATCTCAGAAATATAGACAGATACAGAAATACTTTGTAAATAATTATTACCAGTAATGAATTTTTGATGAAAGAGACCGACAATGCATTATTACTAGCAATTCATTATTTTTTTTATTTTTAAAATATTACCAGCTTTACTATTTTTGAAAATAATATTACCAGCTATACATATTTAAAAAACATATTACCAAATAATAGATTTTTGAAGAGAATAATATTACCAGAAATAGATTTTTAAAGGAAAAAAATATTACCGGCAATAAAAATCTTGTCGGCATTAAATAACCCATTGAGGTTGATATACCGTAAAACAAAACAAACCAAATCATCTACGCAATTTCTTATATCGGTAGAGGTTCCTGTCATAGCAAGCTTCCATGAGTAAATGCATCTTTAACTTCATCAGAAACAAGGTTAAATGAGGGAAAGATACAGATTGTGCGAGTCAAATCTTTCAAGCTGAGATACTTTGTATGTCGGAGGTTAAGATGCAAAATCCTGGATTTTATCTGGATTCGAACTATGACCTCCAATAGATGTATAAAAATACCCAGCATGATTAGGTTATTCAGAAAATAATGTTCGATTTTAGAATAAACATTGTATGTTCTAATATACTATTAAAATATTTGCACAAAAATATATCACTCATTCCTAATGATTAAATTGACCTCTTGCTTTTATAATTAATTCCTTTCAGAAGTTAATTCAAAACAGTATATACTCCATATCATGAAAATTTGTTTATTTAATTTACATGAGTTCAAGCTTGCTCAAAATGCTTCTAAAACTGCTGCCAACATTAACAGAATGAATGAAGGATCCACTAGAGATTGAACATTTATGGAGCTGGTTTCTGAAATTCCGCAGTAAGGATACGAGCTTTGAAGATCAATGTGGCAGTAGAGGACCCCCATCTAAAAACACTAGTCAAATACAAACAACTTCAAAGTGTTAGAGAAATGTCTCAGATGCTGAGTGTCATCATTTCAACACTATCGGACCATTTGAAGATAATTATCAAGGTAAAGAAATCGGTAAATGAGTTCCACATAAATTCTGTGACGTTTTGAAGTTTGCAATGCTGCTTCTGCGAAATTCGAATTATCCATTTCTTGACAGAATAGTGACTTGTGATCAGAAATGGATCCTTTACGACAATCGTAAACAGTCAGAATAATGGCTTCACCAAAACACTTTCCCAAAGCGAAATTGCAACAACTGAAGATTCTGTTGACTCTCTGGTGGCCCGCCATTTATGTTATCTATTAAATTTTGTGGAATCTAATAAGATCAGCATTGGCGAAGTTTACTGCCAGCAACTGGATGGAAGGCACTTTCAGTTAAAATGATACTGACACTAGATAATAAAGTCCAATTCTATTTCATGATAATACACGGCTAAATGTTGCCAGAATAATATTACAGAAGCTCATTGACTTGGGATACAAGACTTTGCCACACATCCATCATATTCCCCTGATCTCTCGCCCACGGACTACCACTTTTTTAAGCATCTTAACAATTCTTTAAGCCGGAAGACATTACCTTGCAAACAAAATGCATAAATTGCGTTCAAAGATTCTTTTGGCGTTCAAAATTTAGAGTTTTATTGTAAAGCTATAAATAACGTGATAACTCGATAACTGTTATGCCATAGTACCTATTCTTTGGTAATGGACTCTCCCATAGATAATAAGGAGTAGCAGTGGCAAGTCTGCAGAACGGTGTTGAGATTCGGACATTTGAAGTACCAACCATCACAACTAGATTTGCTGCGTCATTGACTATTGTTTTCCAAGTTCCTAACGTTTTGTACGACTTATTATAAACACAAGCCTCCACTGTGAAAATACTCCACAACAATAACATAAATGAATAGACGTTAAGGGTTCCTATTTTTTACCGATTTAAACACTGTTTAAATATATTAATTCAGGAATAAAGTTGGTTATAAAATCGGAATATGTTCAAATCTATATGGTTTTGTAGAAAACGGAGTAGTAAAAATAAATTGCGAAATATTACGTACCATAGAATAATAATACCAGTTTTAACTGAATGTTGAGTTCGCCATTTATTTGAAATAAAAAGAAACAAAAAATCCGCCATACGATGAACCACTTTTGACGTAAATACAAACCGCCTTAAACTCATTGAATGATGACGCCAGATCTTATATTTATGACGCCAAATCTCAATTTTGCCGATTATTCATCCTGATAGCAAGCATTCGCTCCATGGAGACGAATTGTCTAGATCAACCCAAAATACCCATTCTAAATATCACTAAGGTTCAGATGTGTTGGCGGGGGTTGAGGTTACAGCGAGGAGGGATTCTCAGAGATGCACACAGGCTATGAAAAAAGAGCGTGTAAGCAGAAAATTAAGATTCGTTCATTCCAAGAACCGCATGTGGGTTCCAACAAAGGAGTCAAAGTTATCGAATTTCTTCGCGTTAAGATCCGACCTGCGGCAAAAAAAATAACGTTATGATAGGATCTCGCGAGAGCGACATCGAAAATAATTTCCCTGCGAGATTTAGCTTGCCTTTGGTCCTTTTGTTAGTCGATATTACAAAAGGTAAAGTTAATATCATTTTTCTACAAGAAAAATAAAATTAGTAAAAATTTTGTAGCTTCTGGCCAGTATTCTGATAACGTGAACTTGAGATTATAGTCAAGTGGTTATATAATGGGGCTGTCAGTAGAGGATTTACGTTTGCATTTTTCATGTTAACAAAAAGCTCAATTCGTACATGAAAGTAAATAGCCTTTCTGTATGTATCCAATTTACAAATAGCAATAACTTTTTCAGTGTCAATTCTCTCCAGGATTTAGGCAATCATGGGTTTCCAGAGATACATTTTTTTTTATTATTCTTAACATGACTTTTTGGAAAAGTTATTATTGCTTCCTATTACTTTTACACATTTAAAATAAAGGTTTGCATTTCGTAGACTAATGACAAACCAATCCTAGAGAGCCCACTTTATCGTGCCATGGAACCCATAGCTAAGGACAATAATAGACGGGTTAATACCTTTCCAAAGAGATTATAAAACTCTCTGTCCTAAGATTTTAAAAGGATCATTTGATACTCTGTATGGTCGAATAGAATAAAAATTCAGCTTTCATAGGGTCAGAGCCATTTATTCTAGGATCTCTCTCTCTCTCTCTCTCTCTTTCTTTTCTCTCATATATATATATATATATATATATATATATATATATATATATATATATACCGATAAATAGATGAAGAGGATGAGATCGCTAGCTAGCTATTTAGATAGATAGATAGATAGATAGATAGATAGATAGATAGATATGAACAGCATGAGATAGATATATGAAGAGAATCAGATAGATAGATAGATAGATAGATAGACAGACAATGAGGCATAATTTAATATGGCTTTCAAGGCCAAATATTTTACATCCCATGTCATTTCAAGCCATAGGCAGTCATGGCTCTCCATAGATTCCCTATTCATTATCCTTGAATTACCATGTCGTCTTGGGAATTATAAAGTTGTTCCGTCTCTCTTTTCCATTCTTTGAAAGTGGCTAACATAAGTGAGTAGGTGTTACCCTGTAGTAGAATCCCGGGTGGCGCGTATACGCAATACGAACTATATTAACTGAAAACAAGGAAATAATTCAGCCCAGAAAGAGTGATAACCATAAATGTCTGGTAGCAGGCTTCTAATCGGCCGGCGGAACCTGCTTCATTTTGGGAAATGGAGGGTTACTACGAGAAGAACGGATCCCTAAGACTGGGACGACCAATAATTTTTGGCTTGGAGCGATAGACAAGTCCAACAGTGAATCACCACAAATGGAGAATATACATCGGAATTTGGTGACTATCTACTGTTTTTGCACAAACACATGGATATAGGACACCTAGTGAGGATCGAACTCATTATTAATAGTAACAGAAATGAAATCTTGGAAATACCGACAGAATCAAAACAGTAACAACAATGGGTTTAACTCAAGGGAATCTATGTTTCTTCTGACGGATTTTTCATAGTTTCTGGCTATCATCCTGGCTATTGTAAACACGTCGTCATAGAAAACGATTCTGATGGAAAAACCTTTATGTTTGGGTTTGAAAGATCAAGCCTTAATTTTATATCTCAGTTTTGTGAAAAAGAAACATTGAATTTCCTGCAAAGGGGTTTCCTTCGTAAAAATTTAAAAAACTGAAATCTTTTTATTCAAATTTCAACAGATCTTATGGGTAAATCAAACAAATGGCATAAAGTATTCATTTTTATACTAAAATTCATACAATTTATGACACGAGATTCACTCAAGATTGATGACTACGAACAAATTGACTATGAAGAATAACGCGTGTGATATGACACTAAAAGAGGCGGTAAGAAATCAAAATTATGAGAATATGTAATGACAACCATTGATTCTTGATTTGTAAAAGTTATGATTGTGGCATTCATGGAAACATAGAAACGGGGGCAAGTTCGACAAAATAACAGTTCTTGAGGAAAGCTGTCTGAGTGGAACTTTCTCCTTGCATTTGGTATATGGAAAAAAATAATGGAGATGCCGTGTCCATATCTATAAAGGTCTGAACTGGTAGAACTAACGAACGGAATTCAGGTGAACAGTTCCTATGGAAATAGCTATAGGGGAGCGACAGTCTTGCGTCGTTATCTCTGTCAAAAAGAGGTTTCGGAGTGGTTAATAAATGTTCTCCAACAAGACGGCGTAAACGATTTCGAACCGTGTCAAAAGAGGAAAGTGAAGGTTGAACAGCTGGAGCATAGAGATGTAAGAGTAATATTATTTTTGGTCTAAGCTGATTCTTGTACGGGTAAAGCATGGCAGAAGGTTACAAACAATTCTTTAGAATTTTCTTTGACAAAGATTCTTTATTATTTCCAACTGCATAACCCACAATATCGTGGCTTTGTTTTATCTTGAACGACAACAATACTAATAAATTTCGACAGCAAGAAAACGAAAGGAAAACGAAAATTTTACAGTTAAATTAGAAAATTTGTTACGAATGCCAAAAAGACACCATCTATTGAAAAGAGCAGAAATTCAAATGAAACAAAATTCATGCGCAGCAACAGAAATGATGCCGTAGAGGTTCATATGGTTGCAAGAATCAACTACTAATAAATAAAATGATCCTAGAAAATTGCAGGAAAATCGAAATTTAAGCACATCATTGATAGATTACCGAAAAACCATTGTATGGTCTGGCACGCTGTTGGATACTTAAGACTTTGGAAATGCACAAAGTCTCCTCGGTGACTGTAAATTTCCTTAAACACAATTCGGGTATATTCAACTAGAGCTGTCTTACAAAACTACCACAATTGGCTTTCAAAGATACGTGAAAACTACAGAAGACTCGATGATGATTTGTGTCAAAAAACACGAAAGAAATAAGAATCTTTATTCAGTAATAATGGAAGCCAACAGTTTCAAAATGGAGTTTCAAGTGGGTGAAGAAATTCAAGTAAGCCATAATACACCGACTGCATCTGCAAAATACTTTAAAAAAAGAAAGCAAAGGCAAATGCAATCGACCAGATAGAGAAACGCTGTCAAGATAAACCGCTTCACGGTAAATACTCTGCCCGTACCAACAAGCTGATGTAGATAAACTCCGTATGCTTAAGTGGTTACGAAGTGCAACGTTAAAAGCTGAAACTGATGGTTTTATTTTTGCTACACAGGGCCAATGCTTGCTAACTAGAAATTACAAAGCACACATGCTGAAAAATTGTTACTCCAAAATGCAGATTCTGTGATAAGTATCTAGAATATTATTTTTGGTCTAAGCTGTTTCTTGTACAGATAAAGAATTCAGGCAATTCTTTACAAATGCTTTTCAAAGATTCTTTTTCATTTCCAACTGCATAAACTAAAACATTTTATCTTGGTTTTATTTTGAATGACAACAGTACCAATAAATTTCGGCATCAAGAAAACGAAAGGAGATACGGATGAAGAAGGGGGTCCAAAGTTTTAGTTGCTTTGAAATTCTTTCGTTAACAAAGTATCATTACATGAAATATTTGTGTATGAGATAAACGAAAAGTTGTTGATACCCCGAGTTCTGTCTAATGTTAACTCTTTCTTAGTCGCGCATACGCAGCACCTCCTTGTCACCAACTGTTATTCATAATTAGTTTTAGCTTGCAGGATAGTCCGAAAGGCTATCTCCTAATAAAAGGCAGCTAATTAGCGCCAAAGTTTCAAGTTGACACAAGATGAGACAGTATAAAAAAATAAAAATAACAAGCTAGCAATAATAAGGTAACTCTGGTAATGATGAGTGTAGACACAGGCGTCAAACACGATAGTAGCTATTTATTTCGGTCCCCAAATTGTTGCAGCAAGAAAAAAGTGTTCAGTGATAAAGAAAGAAAATAAATCCCAGAATTAAGGTTGGAAATCGTTGGTTGCTCACTATTACAATTTGACCTATATCATGAAATATCATACTATATATATATATATATATATATTTATTAATTAATTTAAAGATAAATAGACCAATTTAAGGCTCCATTGTAATAATTTATTTCACTAGAGACTTTTATTTTTCCCTGGATCTTCAGACATCACTTTCGAAAGGTGAAACGAAAAAATGAAAAAAATTTAATTCGCTCTGAATTAACATTGAGCTCTCATAATTTCATTCTCCTTGGGATGATCCATACGGATTACCAAGATTTTCGGCATTTAACTATATATATATATATATATATATATATATATATATATATATAGAGAGAGAGAGAGAGAGAGAAAGAGAGAGAGAGATGGATAGATAGATAGATAGATAGATAGATATATAGGGCGAGTTATTTATAATAATAAAAAATGAATGTCTGTTATGTTTGATCATGAGTCTTACTGTTTCGTTCTGCTGTCTCTCTCTCTCTCTCTCTCTCTCTCTCTATATATATATATATATATATATATAGATATATATATATATATATATATTGAAGTTATGCTATAGGTCGAACAAAGACCTCTGTTGCCGGGAAGAAACACACGACTGTCTCAGCCATTATAGAGGCCAGTGTAGGATCTCATACTGTGCAAGATGGCCGTTGCAGGGCAGATATAATACAAGAGTTTCAAATTAAACCTTCCAACCGTTAACATTACTTACCTCCGCCGAAAATATCATGTCATTCTATCTGTTAATGGAGATGTTATATCCTACAATCAAGCAGCGATATTTCGAAGAAGAAAATAATTTAAAGTTAATCAGCTCTCCAATTTAAAGCAATAGCTAAATAACAAAAGAAATCCCTTTTTTTATTTGTGTGTGTGTTTTCTGCCAAGAAAAAGGCATTTCTGCAGAATGGGAATGCAGAAATAAATCCATTGACGTCAGTAGCGTGATGATGCCATTTGTTGAACGAAGAATTCGTGTTTCACGGATTTCTTTGAATCCATTTCCAGGGTGAAATGGAAACGGCAGAGGGTCTGTAGTTTCCATTCAGCCAAAGAATGGTTCGTGTCAGAATCTTCGCGGTGCAATGCTGGAAATAATCTGCCTGATAAGATACTTCAAGTTTACACCGAACGGAAGACTAATTTCAATCGGCTAAAACTATCTTCAATATTCTGCTTAGCGTTCAACAAGCCTACGCGTTGGGTGCTAACCATTACGAATTACAATTAGGCCCATGCATCAAGACCCGACAAACATTCCATCTTCGCTGTTTATTATGGCAGACCTTGTTCCATTCCATAATGCATCATTTTGCAATTGCTGATTTGCAATTTAATGCAATCATTTCTGGTAATCCTCCACAGTTGATGTCGGCAAGGAACAGAATTATTTTCAGTTGGCGATTTTACTTGAAAATGGAGTTGAGTTTCTTTGCTGAATGATAGAATAAGTCACGCAGATCGATTCTCAGTTTTCCCTTCTGTTCAGTTGATATTCTCTAATTACATTCATAGCCCCACATATTGCTATTGAATAGTCTGTCTTTATTAGACAGGCTATTCCAGTAAAGAAACAACAGAGTTCTTGTAAAACCCTGATGCTTGCCCGTTTCTTAGAAAAGGCATTTGCAATATCATTTAAACCAATGGTTTTCAACCGAGGTCCACATGAATCTCAGCGGTCCACACAAAAAAAAACACCAAATTGGGGGTCCATGGTAATATTTTAGCCCTCCATAGAGCAATTTAGCTTTGCAAAGGTCGCTCCTTTTATTCTAACGGATGTTTTGATTGTAAAAGTTGAATAAAAACTGAGAAGGATATGCAAAGGAAGGATTATATATATATATATATATATATATATATATATATATATATATATATATATATATATATAGGAGGTTTTGTATATTATTTGAATTGTTGGCGACGATGGATTTCTCCAATTAAATCATT